TCTGTGGGGAAATGGTTCTGATACCCTACCTAACAGTAGATGCTATTTGATATATCAACTCCTCCATGGCCATCAAGTCACTCAGTTTGACCGTGCGTCTATATCCCCAGGCTACCCGGTCCAGTGTCATAGCATTCTCCCATTTGTGATTCTGAAGTTTACCTGTAAGACAGGGAAAAAATATTTATATTTCTTTTCTTATTCACCTTAAAGTTTGATGTTATCTAAGTGCTAGGGGAAGTTAGAAGTTGCCCTATAACCTTTGTAATGTCTTTTCTCACGTGAAAAAATCTTTAGAAGTCTGTTGCTTTGAGATTTGCTGAATAAATTGTGTTGAGTCTTAAGAAACTGCCTCCAATTAGGAAAAATTAAGTCTGATTAACATTTCATGAAATAATAATAAATTTCCTTCAAGTAATGAAGAGAAAAACTACTTTTAACATCATTCTTTTTCCTTTTTCTTTACTTTCTTTTAAGAAATGACTGATGTCTTTCAACATATTATTTTAGTTCTTAATTTAAGAAAGCTTTTTTACTTAAAAGTCATATGATTTTGGTTAAATACATAACTGTTACGGTATACAAAGAAATTGGCATTCGATCAACTCAAACACACACACAAAAAAAACTGTATTATTCATGACTGATTCTTATACTGTAGATTAAATCTGATCTTTTTAAAGTTTTATGTCAGAGGAATTTACATTTAAACTGAAAGTGTGATCCTTTCAGGTGGCTACTTATTATAATAGCTGCATTGATAAAGAGATTTCTACCGAGTATACATAACAGTTCTTCACATATTAAACAAAACAAAATTCTAAAACAAATCAGACTCAGAGTCACTGAACTAGTATATGTGATCTACTTGTTTACCAGGGTTGTATCTATCAGCACAAGTGTAATATCCTCCATGGTGGCACATTATTCCATTATTTCCCCAGCGATCATTGGTTACTACATAATCTTTCACAGGACTATAAAGAGAGAAAAAATGCCTTAAAATCTAATTGACAAATACACCAATTCTAGAAACTATGGCCACTCTGAATTCCCAATAGCATGGGCCTTTCACATAAATGTAATTTTTTTTTAAAAAACAGAGTATCAGCACCTACAGATCTACACTTGTTAGCTTCAGTCCACAGTCTTTTTTTTTCTAATTTGTTTCAAATTTACAGAATTTTTATTCTGAAAATTTTGAGCCAAATCCAGGCTGAAGCATTAAATAGTATAACAATTTAATGTAATTTTTCTATTTATTACATGTTTGTAAATTATCTTGAGCCATATGAATATTATATAAATATATATACCGGTAATATAATGTGTGTGCTCATGCATGCACACATGAGTGAGCTCACCACACCTGTCATACATATATGCATGAATAAAACCAAGGATACAGGTGGATGTCTGGGTATGTCTTCTATTTGGATTCAAGTACAAACCTTTCATTGTAGAGCCAAGCCAGAAACTGGGTAGAGTTCCAGTACCAATCAGGTCCAGCATCTCCATCAGACCACAGAATCTCTGGCTTATAATTGTTCACTAGCTCATACAGCTCAGGCCAGGCTTTTGCCTGTTGAATAGATTATTTGTTATTGTCATTATGATATTCAAAATGTGATGTTGATAAAAGATGAAAACTTCAAAAACCTTATTAACTAGAATAAAATAACCTCAACCGTTGTCATGGCTATCATGTGAGAAAAGAACGTATTTCATCATTTAAAAGGTAAAAACAACATTCAATTGTGTAGGTTTAGTTTATGCACAGTATTTGTCGTGAAAGAACAATAATTTTCTGTTGACCTTCAAAGTTCAATTCCTTTCGTAGAAATCTGCTGCAGATTTTGAAAATGCAGTTAAAATTCAGCCTTAATGAAGCGACCAAAGCAAAACACTTACCGGTGGGTACAATTGTGTCTTGAAATTGTTGCTCTTGTCTGTCACATACAAAGGATCAAACCACGCAAACAGGGAATGATAGAGGCCAAAGTGCAAGCTAGTCTTATTTCTGATTGCAGTGGCAAGCTCTCCTATTATATAAGAAGAATGACATTGAAAAATTGTAATAATTTGATATGTTCAATATACATAGAGATTCATTTGGTAAAATCAAAAACCTCTGAGCTGTTCTTTAAAAGTAAAAGGGGTGAATTTTTGTGTTTAATATTAATCATGACAATGTAACTGATCAAATATCATGTCTTGCATACCAATTAAATCTCTTTTGGGTCCAACCTGCATAGCATTCCAGTTGAAGGATACCTTAGAAGGCCACAGAGTAAACCCTTCATGATGTTTAGTAGTTATCACAAAGTATCTGGAATAAGAATTTTGCCATTATAAATAAAACTGGTATTCACGATGCTCCCCTCAACTGTTTGCCTTCTATCCTTGTTTTTCAATTTGTAAAGGAAATCCCCTATTATGCATTCCAATAAAACCATCCTAAATAAACAACTTTTCTGTCCAATTTCTCAAATCTTAAAAAATTTCAATTTATATACTAGGATATACTATGAGAATTTGCCAATAATAAGTAATATTGCAAGTCTCTCCTGATAATAATTAAATAAGCACATGCATAATTTGTATATCCAGTTGCTTAATTTGTTATGAAAACATTGATTTAGTAGTTAAGTAGTTTTTTCTGTGCATTATCAGGCCTACCCAACTACCATACTCGGCACCAAATGATCCTGCATTCACCGGTTGATCAGACCACACTACCCGTATTCAATGTGTGCATTATCCTTCTTTCTAACAAAATTGTTTGAGAGAATATTTAACAAGCCATATAACAAACGATTAAGAGATGTTCATTTTCATTCCGATTTGAATTTCTGTTCATTTATCTTATAATGCAAAGGATATTGTCAATACCACCTTATCTGACAACAAAAACACTAAAAACTAAAAACAGACATCGATAAAATGGAAAAAATTCAAAGAAAAGCTGCACGGTTCATCACTGGGGATTACAAGTCTCAATCCCCAGGTAGTGTCACCTCCATGCTGAAATCACTAGAGATACCACTACTGCAGCACCGGAGGAAGGAACTGCGACTAACTTTTCTCTTCAAGGTGGTTGAGGGGTTAGTTCCAGCGATCCCCCCCGACACTTACCGGTACTTTGTACCAGTCTCCAACAGACGTCGCATAAGGGCTAAATCTTTCACTGACTTTGATTCTGAAAACATTGTGAATAGTACTAATAATAGTCGCTGCTTTCGCTTACAACGTTGTAAAACACTCGTCAGAAAAAACTCTTTCTTCGTCAGAACAGTTTCCGATTGGAATGGACTAAGTGACCAACAAGTAAATGCTGAAACTGTTGAAAGCTTTAGATCAGGATTACTATTTGACTAAGTTTCCCATGCGCTCTTTTCTACCCGTCTATTTCATACCAGTATTGGTCTCTTTAGACGCATATGGACAGATACAGATACAGAAAAGCTAACTTCATGTAGCTCTCTACCAATCGACACCAGTCGAAAGAACTAATTAGTACTTACTTTGCGCCCGAGGCTTCCAGTATCTCTGCCCATTCATCAGGATTGAAAAACTCCGCCTTGAATTCCGGAGCAAAGTCGGCATACGTGAACCCCGGCCTGTAGTTTTTTGTCATATAATCTACATACGGCTTCACATGATCCCTCTGCCAGAAAGCCCATAGCCATGCCGTCTCGCCAAAACTAGGAACAGAAAACACTCCCCAGTGCATGAAGACACCGACTTTCGCTTCATCGTACCAAGCTGGCAATGGCCTCGAGTCTATAGACGACCAGTTAGGTTGATACTTGCATTCGCTTATGCATGCTGATACAAGCACAGTAAAACAAAGCAAGGCTCTGCTCGTCCTCATTTGTAGAAGTTCTCCTCGGAGATACTGTAATGACAGATTATAAAACTTAGCTTTGTTTTCTTCTAAGTGTACTTACTAGACACCGATATTAACTATATTCCCTGCCCTGCAAGGCACGTCTTGTGTAAAGAAAAGTAAAGCACGCACTGTCACTATCTTGTGCTTTATCTTCGTGTGGGTATATATTATATTACATTATATAGTCTCTATTATATAGGTCACTATAGAGAAAATGCAGACTGCTATAAGCCAGTCAATGCAAATTTAAAACCGCTGTTGCACTCTGTGACAGTGCATGGTGCCCTACTTATATTTAAGTTTTTCAAACACTTGACAGGCATTTTTAACCATTTTATATCAGTATTTTTCAATTCACAGAGGAGCAACTAATAATAATGTTCTCACAATATCGTGTCTTGCCAAGGACGCCAAAATATGTAGTGTCTTGAATTTTTCCCTTAAGGTGTCTTTCAGATTTTATCAGCGAAAAGACAGTGAAATAAATGCTTTCGTCTGCTTGTCATTTTCTGGCCAAAATAGATCTCCAGGCATTATTGTTTCTCATTTCTGGGGTAATGTCAACTAGATCAGAGAGAATTTTGCTTCTGGTTTGCATATTGAAAATTTTAACCGCTCAAGTTTGTCACATAAACAGCTCGTCTACTTTGTCGTACAACACATTTTTGTTAACAGAGCTTCCTTATTATTATTTTTTTAACTGAAGAGCCATGCAGTTCCATCCTCTTAAATTTTATTAATTTTTGACTGGATAAGAGATCATTGCTTAGAACCAAAATAAACATCATAGCTTGTTACAAGTATGAAATGATACAATGACCTTACTGGATTAGTTCGGCATGTGTAAGCTAACAATTGCATTGTGCTTTACACATGTAGATGTTTACTTGACAGAAAAAAAAACATGCTGATACTATAAATAGTTATATACATTTTATTTGTGCATCTTATATGTGCACAGAAATATCATGGAATCGGATAAACTCCTGAAAATAAACTATATTCCAAAATAAGTGGTTGTATTTCAAGTCCAAGGGCATACTCTTTATTAAGTAAAATAAAAGCTGCAGCTCCATGGAGGAAACGGTTGAACTTCACTGAAACTTTTCATCTCATGACAGTCCTACATATAAGATCTTTAAATTGCACAAATATACGCAGCAGCAGCAGCAACTGAAGACATGCTTGGTACTGCTGATACTATTTGCAGAGATATACCAGCAAATGGAGAGATGTGAGCAGTTCTATGCAATTGGTTATTGAGTAATGTATGACATCATATTTTAATTATATATTAACCATGGCCATTGAAAAAAAACACTGACAGTGACAAAGTTAATGTTGCTCAACTTCAAGATCCATATATATAAGGATAACAATGTTATTAAGCCATATAGCTGCAAGAACAGTAACAGTTTTTCTACTCAATTCCAAAAGATCCAGCAGATATTTGCTATCTGAAAAGAGGCCACACTTGCTCCTTCCATGTTTCATTCCACCTCAATTTCTGAAAGTCTCTTAAACATTTGTTGAATCTTTTTAGTTTTGTTGTCTTTGGAAAATCTGCAAGGAGCTCCTGAAAGGTAAACATCATATATTCTCAATATAAAACCAAAGCTGAAATTGATACATTCGGAAGGTAGTTCCATTGTTGTACATACTGATAAACCTTAAATGTCTGTACTTATTTATTATCTAATATTTGTACATATTTATATTTGTAATCAAAAACTACCTATGTAGTGCTGTGAAAAATGTTAATGATTTTTTCAATACCTGCAACTGTTCAGCAAGTTCCTTCTCATTGTGGAAAATTAATCCATTTTCTTCATGTTTCACCAGCTCATGAAGACTGTTATCAAAAGGAGAGAAAAATCATGACACATGAATAAAAGGAAAATTTATCAAGACATGCAACAGAAAGAAAAAACAGCAGTAATAAACTATTTACATACTAGTTCAAACTAACAATTATCAACTAAGCAATGGAGAGATAAATGCTTATGACTGAGGTTATCAAATTTGAGAATAAGAACCATATTTAAAGATGGATCCATGCTAAAAATGCATGCTTTATCATAGTCTTCTTTTTTTCTTTTAATGTCACTTAAGTTATTTACCATTTGAAATGAATGGCACAGACAGGTAAGCAACATCCAAACATATCTACAACTTTCATCGGAAGGTCTAGGCCACTGGAAGATGTATGGAGGCACACACCTAAGTCAGCGGATCCTGAAATTTGTAACAAATGAAATGCATTAACTCTTTTCCTCTTTACACAGCAAGCAAGTGGCTCTCTGAGTGATACACATGTAGGTTAATTACTTGCTCCAATAGAACATTGTTCTTTTAGTTAATAAAACCTATGTAAGAATATTTTTATATATCATTTGCATTAGACTGGCTTATTGCAGGATGGCATAGGTTAAAAATACTGGTGGTATAAATAACATTACTTTGTTTGCCTTCTTTTATTTGATTCTAGGACTGATACATTTAGTTAGAATGATTCAAAAGCATTTAATGTTTATCAGGTCACCTACAAGACTTGAGAAAGAGATGGGGAATGTAATCAAATGTTTTGCCCATCTAATACCAGCAAAATCCAATTAGGCTAATTTGGAATGTGAGATATTATAAATTTTCTTTTACATATTCTTTTGCTTTTTCGGTTTATCAAGAGAAACAAAATGTGCAGACCTTTGCATACTTCACCACATGAAAAAAAAATTAATAAATTGATCAATAAAATTAAATCCCATATCTGAATTGTTTACCCCATGTCTGAGCATGAGGATACAACTGACCTAGTAGTTTTGGATAGTCTTCTGCAGCCAGCCATGGGGTGCAGATCTTCACATGCTTCAGATTCTTCTCTTCAATCTTGCCTTGATAATATTCTTTCAGTGGTCCCTTTCCTAAAAGACATTCATTCAATTATTTTCAGTTTTTCAGTTCAAGCAAAGCGACTACTGTTGCACTTTGAGGCAAATAAAAAATGTAAGACCAGGTTTTATTTCAAACTAATTATAATTCATTCAAGCTTTAAAATAGCTTTCACATCTTCATCCAATTTTTCAAATCATTAGTTTCTTTATTATTCAAATATTTAAAGGAACTTATTTAAAGTGTTTGTGCAAGTATGCATTTCAATATGTTTGACTTTGACTTTCTATCTGATCTTGAACTTGTGACCATGTAAAAATATATTTAGTTATCTGTATGACTTAGATGGGCTGTATAGCTTGCATTTACACATAATAATTTTTTCAAAGCTTCTATTTATCACCTGTAATTGCACAAATAATATGAGGCAGCGTGAGGTTTCTGTTACTTTGTACTGCTTGGTCATATTCTGAAGAAATAGATATAGTGAAAAGGTATATATATATGAGATTAATTAATAACATTAGATCTTTGCCAGTTGACCAAATCTCCCATAATATTGACAATTATGAAATACTTAAAACAGTAATATGTTTTAGTTCAGAAAATACCAAATAAAAATATTATGAGGTAAGTAAATTTCTGAAACCCTCCCAAAAAAATACAATAAGTTTAACCCAGAAAAGTATAAAACAAATTACACAATTCTTTTAAAGGACCAAGAAAGCATTCTTTAATTCACAAAATTAGAGTGCCTACTTACTCTCCAAGGCAGACAATAGAAGTGAGAAGTCTTCGTCCTCTGTCCAACTAGTGCTACTGACCAACAAAGCTGGGCGGTCATCTTTTTCCAAAATTTCTCCAGTCTCCATTTTTTCCACAAAAACTGACTGTCCATTGCTATACATCATACCAAAGAACAAAATATACTTTTTGGGATAGAAATAACTACACAGAGTTAAGAAAATATTATAAAAATGAAGAAAATAAGAGGTAAAGAAGGTATTTTTGATTAAGAAAACTTATTTCTTTTAAACAAGGCAACTGAAACTGTAAGCATATTCATTACGAAAGCAATCTTTTACAGAGTAAAATAAAATTTGTCAAATGACTTATACTGGTTACTTATAAAATATAAGTGATGCAATATTTTATACCTATCTTTGAAAACGCTATACTCATTCTTGAGTTTGCTGAATAATTCATGTTTCTTTTCCTGATCACATTCTTGGAATATCAATGGTGGTCTGTCATACATTGTTACAGCTCTGAAACACATGTATTCAATCATTGTACCCAAGTTTAACACCATATAAGTGGTCAACATCTTAATAACGGCACAACTGTTTGACCATGCAGAGCAACTGAATGATTATCACAATGATTCACATTAAGTTAGCTTTTTAGTTCTCATCCTTATTGATATCTCCCATATTCTACCTAATATTCCATTTCTCTGCCAGATCTTCCCTCATTGCTTGAGTTACACATATGTTGCCATCTGCTAGACGTCCAAAGAAACCCTCATACCTGGAAATTAGCACAAGAGAGATATAAACATGACTAGGGCTCCAGAATAACTTTATGACAGGTACACTGGTGGTTCCAACCCCAAAGAATTAAATGGGCACACCAGCAAAAATTCAGAAGCACCCTATGTAATGTTGGGACCATCATTATTAATCAATGAGTAATAAACAGGAATGCATAACACTCAGATGCATTTGATTTGCAAATGAACTTATACAAACCCAATGAAGAAGAGATATTGCTATCCTTGAACAAAATCATATCTTACCACTTTGAAAATCTCACCAAAGGATGCCTGCTTCCTAAAGTAAGCCCAAGAATGGTGTAGCCATAGTTGTGCCAATCCACTATTAGCCTACTGTCCCTGTACAGACAAACCACCCACAACACTGCCAGAGTAGGAATAGCTGGAGGATTCTGAAAAGATATATGATTACAGAGGTCTGTGAGCAGGCCAAGACAATCATGACCAAAAGAGGCATCATTGGATGGTTTCAATCTGAATTTTTTTCAGCCAACTTTACATTTAAATTTAGGTGATATACTAACACTTAATGGTACCTGTGATTATTTTGGTCAAATTAAATTTTGAGTCAAAAACTTTGGAGAAAATATTTTTGTTTTTCTATAGCCCAAGTACTTCTAATTTTCGGAAAGTCACGTCTTGCGGAAAAAAAAAGACAATGAGCTTCTTTTTACATCACACAATGTGGTATCAGTTACTGGTCATTAGTCAACAAGACTCAAAACATATTTACCTGAAGTAAAATATGTGAAGATTTCTTTGTCATCAACACTGTTAAACACAGCACTACAGACTGCCATAGTACTTTAAACATATAGTTCAACAGATTTGGCAAGTCTGGAAAGGACAAGTTCATCTGTTTATTTCATTATAAGATAACATCTAAGGCTGAAACAAGAAATTCAGATTACCATGATAATATAAAATAAGAATTCATAGCTGGGCTCACATTATGAATATTATTTACATGTATTTCAGCCAGTCAGCTGGTTTATCCTGTCCAAATCAAAATACAAAACCACATCAGTGATAACTCTGGCAAGTAAATCAAGTTTTCCACCCAGAGCAAACCTTTGAACAATCATGTGGACCAAGCAACCTCTAATATACAGTACAAGATTCTGTGTAGTTACTGGCAGTAGTTTGTTTGTTGACAACAAAAGTGATTGGCTCTTCAGAAGTGTGTAGGGTGAGAGGTAAGTAAAACATATGAGAGCCCTGATATACACAGTAGAATTGCTATTTGATCACCATTTTACAGTTACAGGCACCTTAGCATATGAAGTACACATTAGAAAACATATAATAGGAGTGCTAAGTAGCATTTCAGTGCAAAAAAATCATACTAACTTACATCTTAGAAAATGTGGAGTCTCCAACATCTTTCGTATTCTGATGTTGGGGTTTGAAGTCAGATCTTGATGAGGTACAGATTCTAAAAAAAAATCAACATCTGTCACTTATCACATATACAGTGGATACAAGAATATACAATATGTATATATCTGACTATCAAAATGTATTTTCAAAGTATATGCATTTCATAAGTTAAAAGAGGAAAACCTGGGTAACAAATTTATTTTTTTGTGAATTCCATTCTGGATGAATGTATGGTGATGACTGGGATTTAGTAATTAAAATACTGTATACATGTATAAACCATGACAGCTGCAAACTAAAATTAAAAGCAATTGGCTGGTCATACTAAAATGGGCAAAACAGCGTAAAACACTTAAGAAAATGACTATAGCGTGTAGCTCTTCTCGACTGTCCAATATGGCAGTCAATCTGAGAATCCATAAACAAATTGTGCTGATTTGTTATGTTGGATCAACTATAGGGAAGACGGGGGGTAGTTGCACCCCAGGGTAAGTTAATTGGCCCCCATCAAGTCTCTTTAATAAAGTTAGTTTAAAATGCTAAATTATTTAATTTGGACTCACTGCCGACGCTTTCTTTGCACTATTGGATACGGTCACTTTATAAAATGATGTGATCAATTCTTTTAACCCATAGTTACTTTGTCACAAATTGATGGGGAGCAAACTTACCCCGGGGTACAACTATCCCCAGTCTCCCCTATTAATTACGCAAGTCATATATTTTGCTTTCAAATCACCATATTTTCTTACAGTGACAGTTTCCTGTGTTTACTTGTGTCTGGAGTCATTTTCTCTTGTGATTTGTGCTGTATTGCGGGGTTTTGCATATTTAAGTATGACCCCCAATTTGGCAATTACCCCCAAATCCTATGAAATCAACATGGAATTTTTCTTTGGCAAATGAAAGGGCATGGTATTGCATCCTAGGGCTCCGACCTATGTCTCCCATCACCACTATACATATGCGGTTCTGTCCTGGGTCCATGCTGTTCCAAACGCACATTAACAGAGTTAAAGTGGCCACTCCAACCGCTATACCAAACAGAATCATCAATACAATGAACGTGTCGGATGGAAGAGATGTGGAGCCTGAGATAGAGAGAAATGGAGATAATAACTTCTCCAGTTTATGTACAAAACTCATGTAGGTCCATTCAAGCATGTCCATGATGCAGACAGAATAGCTTTCACATATACAAACTCTTTTCAAACTGGAACTCCGACTCCGTTGCAAAACACAGTAGTACACATTCGGCGAATGACCTAGTTTTCAACGTGACGTGACCCATTTCCTCATCAGCGTGTTCTCCGTTGTAAGCCTCTTACTAGTAATGCCTACAACACATGTATATTGAGATCTTAAGTGAAAATGAGATTATAGCTATTGATTTTTTTATATTAAAGATATAAGAGAAAATAAGAGCATCCATATAACATTGCTTGTGATCTCTTTTAAAATTAATCAAAAAGTATTTTGCTTTAAATTGTTTTATTAATATACAGGAAATACTTATGACGAGATTTTGCGTGATCTAAACAAATCAAAAATTTTCAAAATGGATGGAGAGGTTAGTAGTACGTCTGCTGAACAAAAGGTAATTTTACGTTAATATGATTAGAAGTTTTTGAGTTTTATTGATTTTTAAAAAGAACTCAAAGAGTGAAACAGGTAAAGAATGCGTGAAGGCAGGATATGTAACGTTTTTGCTCTAATTTGCTATTGACAGTTGAAGGTGACCCCTCCCCTTTATTTTCAATTTAGCTGTCTGCTAATTTTCAGGTATAGTCGGTAAAAAAGACGAGCATTTTTTGTCGTCACTTTCACATGGGCTAGTTTCTTTTATCTTTTTACTTCCAAGCAATTAATTGTGTAATTGTAAAATCGTAATGATGATTTTTAAGTTGGGTGTTGCAGATTTAGTTTGGTTGGAGATTTAGAAATATTTATCATTTCTAATGTTTCCAGTACATAGTCATCAACATGTAGTTCTAGGAAACTACCAGCATTATATCCATGTTTTGGTATTGCTAATTTTATAATTATCCATAGTGAACAGCAATGCTTGCACATTTTACTTTACCTGCCCTCTGTTATTTGCAACCATGGCATGACAAGTTATGTATTGTCCTTTAAAAAGGGCCGTTTAAAAAGTCTTTATTCTGACTGATCTTACATAGAATACAGTACCTTCTTCACGTCAGATCACTGGTGTCTCCCTCCCAATTATGCACCAAAGGCTTTTCGTGGCACAAAACACCAGCTATACATATTCAATACATCTCTTTACATACTATAGTTACTTATACTAAGGTACAGTTTACTATTACATATTATTATTATTAACATATACATGTGAATGCTCTTTTACATATTTATCGCATTGTTGAAAAAAAATATGGTTACAAATTGAAGGAAAAAGATAAGTGGATAGAGAATTAACGTATTGTATATAAAGATCAAATACAGGTTTGTGGTATTAAAAAAATTTTTTGGCGACATCACTCTCACTATTTACAACTTAAGTATGCAACTTTTGTAGGTCCAAATTTGCATTTATTGATAGTCCACATGGTTTTTGTATTTTGCAACCCTTTTCAACTACATGTACATGCTAGCAAATGGAATCATAGAAGGACATAAGCATGAATGCAATTTGATACCATGGTGAGTTACAGCTGAAAACCTTTGCTAAATAATGGTAAACGCTTTTAAGATGTGGACTCATAACATAATTTCAGAATATGTGATGCCACAATCAGTTAGGTACTCCAATGTAAACTGCATTGGCTACATTTTGTGATTAAATTAATTATTGACTCTTCATCATTACTTGGTTAAGCCGTGCTGACCATAGTTTTTAGTCAGTATGTAATTTAAGAACATTATTAGTCAGTATGTAATTTCAGAATATCATTCAATTTGTGTTCTCAGATGTTCTGTACCTAGACTATCACTAACAAGATTATAGAAGATGCCTGTGTCAATATAGGTTAATTACACACATATGGTTTTCATTTAGTTGTCTGGGCAAAAAAATCTACCCCATTTAAAGTGGAAAGTAGAAGACGACCAGTCTTGTCGCTCTGCATATTGCAGTGTTATCTTCCTCTCAAGACCAAATCAGTTATTTATCATTTGGTTATTTGAACATGTCCTTAAATCAGTAACATTACTATCTGTTATGTGTATTACATGTATCTATAGTATACTGTAACATTTCAGATGTTCAGTTATTGATAATTATTGTTCGTAATTGATAAATATTGATCAATTCACCATCATGATCTTCTTCACCAACGTTTGTTTTCTGAAATGAATCATAGGCCATTAAAACCTCAGCCATCAGAGTATGCAATAAGTGAATTTTGTTGTTTTGAAGTAATAGGATTGATGTTACACTTATTGTATGACGTTTATAAAGCATACCTCTTATACTGTTCTGAATAGATATGGCAATAATTCTGTGTTCTGTAAGCTTCCATAACAGTTTGCAAAATGAAGTTTTAAGGTCCCTTGGTACTTGTGCTATATGTATTTTTCAACCAAGTAACAAAAGAGATTTAGAGCTGCATGATAAGTAAGGGCCCCAGTAAGAGATAAACACTTGTCTCGAGTTACAAGTAGTGAGGTTCATTTCACATTGATATCTTAGGAGCTGTAGCACTGTTGGTAGATAGGAATAGGGAAAAACAGTAGGGTACAATATCAACATGAATGTGGCTTAGTGTAAAAAGCTCAATGAGCCTAGTGCTCAGTAGGTATCTTTTGGTGGAGATGATGTTTTATATCAAGAACAAGAGGAAAGTTGATTTCAAAGAGGTTTTAGAACATCCAGTCATGGTAAATTTCAATTAATTATCTTTTTAGTTTGCCTCTCCACTCTTTATGTTCAGCAGACATCCAAGTTTTTATTTCCCTTGATTTGGAAATGTTTGATTTGTTTGCATTTACAAGCAAGACACGAGACAAAACTTATTTAGTCAATATAGATATAAGAGAAAAGGCATATTTTGCTGACTTCTGGTTTTTGAATGTATTTTTTACAAATAAGTATGCAAAAACATATTTTTGCAATGTTCATTTTCTTGTACATTTCAGAACAGATTTTAGCAATGTTCTTTGTCTTCTATTTGCATTTCAGAACAGAGAGCTGGATCAGTTGAAAACTGACTTGGAAGGCTGGAGAGAAGTTGTGCTTCCAATGAATAAGATTTTACATTGGGAAAAGCCACACTACCCAGCTGTAATTGTTGGCCTTATCTCCTTTGTATTTTTGTAAGTAAAAACTATTAGAATTTAGAAAGCGTGTGCAAGTGAAGCAGGAATAAATTGCATTATCTGACTGGATATATGATGGCATCCCGCAAGGAGTTTGACTTCGGCTTTAATGGTACCTATCAAAATTATAGAGAATGTTTATGTGGAAAAAAAGAAAAGAAGTATTTGTGAGACTAGAAAAAATTACATTATCTCGCTATTAGATTGTAAATATAAATGTAAATATAAATTATGATTTTAAGTGTGAATGTGTTGCTGTCTGCCTTTATGTGATAAGATCTTTGCTATTAATCTTTTAAATGATGATTTAGCACTTGAAAACATGTGAATATGTTCTTTTAAAGTGAAATGATTAGAATGCAACTCATTTTTAGTGAAACTGATATTTAACATTCATCAGTCTGTACCATAAACTTTTCAGCTTACTAGCCATTTGTACCACTAGTTTACTAAAATCTACTGGTCGGGATGGGGTTCACTGGGCTAAATAAAAATTCAATATTACTGGACATTTTCCACTATTCTATTAGTGAAAATAACAAGACTTTGATTTTGGCAAACATTTTTATTTGAGATTTAGAATCAGCGTGCAAATATTACATTTTAGAAAAATAAATTGAATCAAAAGCTCTTTTGAAAACTTATAGAAAAATTCTAATGTCCATATTAGGGTACTAAATTCACACATTTTGAAAAATTTACTGGTCCAAACTAAATTCAACTGGCTGCAGGCATAGGACCAGCAGCTAACATTGCAGACTGCATCTATTTTGAACACTTTTATGTTTTAGGCTGATATGGTACTTTGAGCCTTCAGTGCTGACAACCATCTCCCTGTTGGGTTTAACCATCTGCCTCATAGATTTTTTGGTGCCTACTGTAGCCTCCAGTGTTTTTACTAGTGAACACTGGTAAGTTGATTATGTATGTGTTGTGTTACAGGTTTTTAGCAGATTATATCCTTAACACGTAAACCCTTTAAATTCCATAGAGTTTTTATGTCATTTGGAATTTATAAATCATCTGGTTAGTATTCTGTGTGTGTAATATTGTGAAAGTGCTGTTCTGCTTAGTTTGACATTTTGAAATTGATGTATACGTGAAACTTAGTACACCTTTGGCAAAAATGTGCATGTGGGATGCCAAGTTTGATTTGGGACCTGGGGCTAAAGTAATACCACAGTAAAATCGAGATATTATGCCTGGAGAAAAAAATGCACATATTATATAATTAATATGAATTATATGTATAAATCTAACCAAAATAAAACATTTCACTGCCTTACATTTAATGGATCTGTATTCACCTTATGTTTTAGATCATTAAATTGGCTCATGTTTTACATTTGAGCATCTGACTCAGTTTAAGCTTTAATGTCATAGGTATGTTTGGGTTATATCCAAAGTGTGGAGATGAGTAAGACTTGTGAAAGCAATTTATTTTAGATCAAGCACTATGATTAAGAAAGTTGCCTAAAGTATTTTAACAGCTTTATATACTTTTAGAAATGATCTTATGTCTACCTACACATGCACTTCTCCGTTAGGAGTACTAGCACATAACATATATATATTTCTTTTTTGTTTTAAATTGATTCTTAGAGCAAATGAGTTATGTTTCCTAGGAAAATTCACCCTTACCTAGTGATGTGTATATGTAAATTCATTAGATATTCAATATGGATAAATTTGCTTTTAAATTGTACTTCACAGTGTGAAAAATCCTTTCTTTTCTTTTTTCCCCTTTGAACAGAAATGTATTTATATTAAGAAATGTAATTGGCTGTCAACTTTCAGGACTGTCCTTCAGGAGCAGCAGTATGAGCAGATTTGTCTGAGAATTCTTAATGCCAAACATCATTTGATGGATATGAAAAACACACTTAACAATTTAAAAAGCGAGAAGCCTGCTCTGGTAAGTAATAATGATTATACAATCAGCTTTTTCCCTAGGGGTCTTATTGGAATATATTTTGCCTAAAAAGAAAGCATTTTATTTCATTATTTTGACATTGAAATATATTTGAAAAATGTCTATATAGATGTTGGTGAAGTTTAAAATACTGGTATTACCTATTAAGTAAGCTAATAACAATTTGGAAATGAAAATTCAAATGCTGTCAGTATCACAATTGTACATGTTCATTATAAGTACACAAAAAACTCAGCACCATTTACACATTAAATACTTGCATTAACAATATTTAATTGGTGATCAACATTCTCGGTAGTTACCTATGGCAGTTACTGTACACACTGTAATAGATTGAAGACTCCAGTATGTTTTTATTTTACATTTTGGAAGTGCTGTTATACAGTTTTAACTGTATTTAAAAATGTATTTTACAATGTTACTTATTTTTTGATGTACCAGTATTTATGTGTGCATTTGCTGTCATTTCCAGTATTTTGTCTTGGTAATGGGATTCCTGACCATGATGGCATGGCTGGGCAATCTGATGGACAATCTCTTACTGACTTATCTCCTAGGTTAGTCCACTTTGAATACGTAATAAAATCACTATACTGTCATTACAGGGATTGTTTTTCCAAATTTGAGTACACCCAAGCATGTAACTTTATTGCCTCCAACAGGAATAAGATATAAATTAAAATATACATTAAACAGCCGGTCACCGGTACCAGCATGCCTCATATTTTAAAGATTCTTTATAGAACATAATATATCAATCACCAGGTGGTTCAGTAGTTTCCTTTTCAACGTCTAAACATGTAAATCCAACTTGATAATGTTATAGTTTGATGTACCAGCCACTATCATACCTTAAGTTGCTTGCTGTATCATATATTATGACTTGCACTGTCAAGTTAAGTAGACTGAAAATTGCTTTCAAAGGGACACAATATGAATGTAGTCTTTTTTGCGTTTCAGTGTGTTTCATTGTGCTCCTGCCTGGCATCCGTAGCCAGGGAGCACTACAACGCTACATCAGCTGGCTACAGACCAAACTGAAAGATGTTCTTGCAGGAAAGCCTAAAGCCAAGAAGAATTAGTGCAACCAGCAGCTAATCTTGCTTAATAAAATGTGTGCTATTTGTGCCTTAGTTAAAGATAGGCTCAACCTTCAAGAAATCGAACCTTCAAGAAAATGACAAAAAAACAGAAGTACACATTTTATTCGCTGTTTTTCCCCCGTCATGTCCATCGTAAACACTCTTTGTTGTCAAATAGAGCATCTGATACAAAGTATCAAACACGGCATTCACTTGCTTGTTTACGATGCGTTTAGTACAATTTGTTTACACTGACAAGTCAAGGTCAGAAATGCACAATTTTATCTGTCTAATTATGCAGTTTAAATTTTGATTATTGAATTTGCTTTAATCTGCATGGTCATTTTCTCAACATTTGTATAAGTTGTGAAATATTTCTCATTGGAAAATAACCCAGCTTTCCAATTACAATTGAGTGACATCAGGACTACTTTCGGTTTTTCGTCGAGATAGTGAAGGCATTAGTGTTATGGCTTGCTACACATTTAAAGCTTTCTATCTCAATTTCTATGCAACCGTTTGCCAATGGACTGAAATTTACAACACTTATGCTTTATATAATATCGCACAATATTTGAGAGCTTTTTCTTCAATACCCATTCAAATTTGAAAATGAGCCATTTTCTGTCGATTTCTTGAAGGGCGAGCCTATATCTTTTCAAGCACTGCATAGATGTTTTATATGTGAACCAAACCATATAGATGCAAATTCTCCACATCTTAGTCTGAATATAGTGTTTAAATGCTGTATGTACAGCACATGTACAAACATTGCCCTTTCTGCACAGAGTGAAATGCTGCATTCAGATATATATTTAAAACTTTGACTGGTCTGCTACTTGTTCAAATGTCAATTAAGCAATTGCCATTAAACATCTTTTCAGATATGTTCATGTAGTAGAATGGATATTGATGTGGTAACATTTGTAAGTGCTAAATATGAGTGTGTTGATGTTGTTATTCAAACTAAACCATTTCATGTATAGGGAAGATCCTGTATCATGTTTTTATATCGTTTTGGTCCTCACAGTGTGTGTGAAATGTTTACTGTTGTAGAAAAAGCTCTGTTTGAATTAACAGAGCATCTCATAAATTTAGTCAGTACCATCTTATTGTTACCTGCTAGTATTTAATACATAGATACCAGTGATATTACAGTGGACACTTAAAATGAGTCGTTTCCTTAAATTTTATCATTTTGTCCTTTTATTTTGTTAAGTTGCAGTGATGTAACTTTAAAAAACTGAATTGTAATTAATTTATTTATCCACTTCACTTGCAAGGCAACTGAACTTGGATTGAAGTTTTTTAAACGAAGACTGACTGTGTATGAAGGAGTCTTCTCCGAAGTGAGTGTTTGTTCAGGACGCCTCACTAGCTTGTAAGATCTGGTTTGTCAACTACATGCGACTTGCTTTCATCATAAACAATAACAAGGTGAATATGTTTTACAGTGCATTTTTGAAGGTTAAATGGGTATATGTGCCACACAATCTCAGCAGACAGAGTGATACATTTTAACTGGACCACAAAATCTGCCTATGCAGCAGAGGGTAAACATTAAGGTACATACCCAGAATAATTAGATGCATTACTTTTTACTGCCTGTCCATGTGAAAGTTGGTCTCATTTTTTTAATTGGTTTCCTTCAAACCACATCAGTTTGTTGAGTTTCACTTTTTTATATCAGTCTTGATTTTTGTTGTAAATATTGTTGGCTCTATTGTAATATTTTACGCACTTGATGTGCACTATTTGTCTTATTCACATATCACTATGTTGTATATGTAACACCTACATTTATGTTAATTTTTCATTGGGCATGTTCTGTACTGTAAATTTTTTTGGGAGTGAAATGTATGAGAAAGTATATCCATTCTTCAACTTATATATAGTGTGAAAATATCTCTATGCTTTGTAGTATATTGATGTGTGTATAAAAGATACTTGGTTAATACTTAACTAGGGTTTGTAGTAACCACAAGGACATTCTTCAGAGACAAAAATGTTAGGGGATGCAATGTGTACTATGAGACAGCATTTTTTTAAAGTTGATTCATAGAAATTATAATGGCTACATGCTTTTGATTTTTAATTTATTTAGTAAAACGGATCAGTAATCTTTGTTCTGGGTTCCAAATAATAATTCGTTAAATAAAATCATGCATTTTTCCTGGCAAAACCCATTTTTTTCATGCAGTATTAGGAAAGAAATAGCTAATAGGAGCTTAATGAGTTGATGTTTACAGTACACTTTCCAAATTAATTTCCAAAAGTTCATGGAAGTTGTTAAGACAGAATGAACAGGTGGTGCTTCAATGTGCAAATCTTGTTGCATCAAATGTTTGTGCTTTATATACAAATAAAATACACTAGTAACCTTGAGGTTTGTCATGTGTAATTTGGCATGCTCCGTCTTTTTTTCATTCAAAATATTAAAGCAATGTAACATTTGATGACCATTAATTAATTAATTTCTTGAGAAAAATCATTATTTAAAAAATTTAAAAGATCCGCATATTTACTTGGGTGATCTTTCAAAAATTATTCACCAGGACTTGATAAGAAACATCATTTTTAAAAAGTCTGATTGACATCCTTTATCCAAATATATACATATATAAAAAGCAAAATTAAAAAAAAAACTTTCATAGGTATTATGTTCTTAAATATTCTTTACCAATGATAAGCTTCAATTGACATTGTGCAAAACTGCATAAATGAGCTCCTTTAAAAGTTAAAAAATACATCTGTACTTATGTGTAAAAGTTCACCAAATGAAACCTCTCATTCTAATAAAAAGAATGCAACGCGTAGCATTAACTACTCATGAATCACATAAATTTCTTACTATTGCAATAACTACTCGTGAATCACATAAATTTCTTACTATTGCAACATTAACGTTATAACAAACTCCATAAGTGTTACTGGAACCTTAGTATCACAGAGAGAAACTGAGGTGGGATACCTACTAGTTTACCATTACACCAATACAGGTTATTTATATTATCACCACAGTCATTATAAATTCACAGACATTTCCTTTGAAAACCTATTGCTTTCAAACAATGAGTCTACAATATCACATATGATACAGGTCTGTTGTACACTATACTAGTCACTGGCAGATTCAGGGGTTTTCAAGATCCACCACCACCTCCCTCCGCTGACTTTTCGCCCTTTTTTATCAAAAGTTCTCAGCAACTAATTATATAAATGTAAATTACAGTAATTACTCGATCTTTTTAATGGGGGAAAATTGTGAATTTTATATCAATTAGAGGATTCATATCGAGGGTTAGCAATGAAATTAAAAGGCAAGCTAGTCTATAGTTCTATTCTATTCAGAAAAAGCAACAAATGCAATAAAGAAATATAATTTTTATGATTATAAAATTATGTATCTGAAAGTTTGATAATTTTTGCCCATTCAAAAGATCGAGTAATTACTGGACTTATGCTGTACAAGTAAGCACCATCAATGTTTAAAGACAGTCTCAGTGGGTTAGATTAATGTATAGAAGCAGGTTCTATGTAAAGCTTTGATCAGATTTGTGTTTTGTGAGATTGTTTATTATTATATTAATAAGTCTGGGTCACAANCAGATACCAGTGATATTACAGTGGACACTTAAAATGAGTCGTTTCCTTAAATTTTATCATTTTGTTAAGTTGCAGTGATGTAACTTTAAAAAACTGAATTGTAATTAATTTATTTATCCACTTCACTTGCAAGGCAACTGAACTTGGATTGAAGTTTTTTAAACGAAGACAGTGACTATGTGTGTGAAGGAGTCTTCTCCGAAGTGAGTGTTTGTTCAGGACGCCTCACTAGCTTGTAAGATCTGGTTTGTCAACTACATGCGACTTGCTTTCATCATAAACAATAACAAGGTGAATATGTTTTACAGTGCATTTTTGAAGGTTAAATGGGTATATGTGCCATACAATCTCAGCAGACAGAGTGATACAATTTAACTAGACCACATAATCTGCCTATGCAGCAGAGGGTAAACAGTAAGGTACATACCCAAAATAATTAGATGCATTAATTTTTACTGCCTGTCCATGTGAAAGTTGGTCTCATTTTTTTAATTGGTTTCCTTCAAACCACATCAGTTTGTTGAGTTTCACTTTTTTATATCAGTCTTGATTTTTGTTGTAAATATTGTTGGCTCTATTGTACTTGATGTGCACTATTTGTCTTATTCACATATCACTATGTTGTATATGTAACACCTACATTTATGTTAATATTTCATTGGGCATGTTCTGTTCTGTAAATTTTTTTGGGAGTGAAATGTATGAGAAAGTATATCCATTCTTCAACTTATATATAGTGTGAAAATATCTCTATGCTTTGTAGTATATTGACGTGTGTATAAAAGATACTTGGTTAATACTAAACTAAACCATAAGGACGTTCTTCAGAGACAAAAATGTTAGGGGATGCAATGTGTACTATGAGACAGCATTTTTTAAAGTTGATTCATAGAAATTATAATGGCTACATGCTTTTGATTTTTAATTTATTTAGTAAAACGGATCAGTTATCTTTGGTCTGGGTTCCAAATAATAATTCTTTAAATAAAATCATGCATTTTTCCTGGCAAAACCCATTTTTTTCATGCAGTATTAGGAAAGAAATAGCTAATAGGAGCTTAATGAGTTGATGTTTACAGTACATTTTTCAAATTAATTTCCAAAAGTTCATGGAAGTTGTTAAGACAGAATGAACAGGTGGTGCTTCAATGTGCAAATCTTGTTGCATCAAATGTTTGTGCTTTATATACAAATAAAATACACTAGTAACCTTGAGGTTTGTCATGTGTAATTTGGCATGCTCCGTCTGCTTTTCATTCAAAATATTAAAGCAATGTAACATTTGATGACCATTAATTAATTAATTTCTTGAGAAAAATCCTTATTTAAAAAAATTAAAAGATCCGCATATTTACTTGGGTGATCTTTCAAAAATTATTCACCAGGACCTGATAAGAAACATCATTTTTAAAAAGTCTGATTGACATCTTTTATCCAAATATATACATATATAAAAAGCAAAATTAAAAAAAACTTTCATAGGTATTATGTTCTTAAATATTCTTTAAGCTTCAATTGACATTGTGCAAAACTGCATAAATGAGCTCCTTTAAAAGATACATAAAAAATACATCTGTACTAATGTGTAAAAGTTCACCAAATGAAACCTCTCATTCTAATAAAAAGAATGCAACACGTAGCATTAACTACTTGTGAATCACATAAATTTCTTACTACTGCAACAACGTTATAACAAACTCCATAAGTGTTACTGGAACCTTAGTATCACAGAGAGAAACTGAGGTGGGATACCTACTAGTTTACCATTACACCAATACAGGTTATTTATATTATCACCACAGTCATTATAAATTCACAGACATTTCCTTTGAAAATCTATTGCTTTCAAACAATGAGTCTACAATATCACGTACAGGTCTGTTGTACACTATACTAGTCAATTACAGATTCAGGGGTTTTCAAGATCCCCCACCACCTCCCTCCGCTGACTTTTCGCCCTTTTTGATCAAAAGTTCTCAGCAACTAATTATATAAATGTAAATTACAGTAATTACTCGATCTTTTTAATGGGGGAAAATTGTGAATTTTATATCGATTAGAGGATTCATATCGAGGGTTAGCAATGAAATTAAAAGGCAAGCTAGTCTATAGTTCTATTCTATTCAGTAAAAGCAACAAATGCAATAAAGAAATATAATTTTTATGATTATAAAATTATATATCTGAAAGTTTGATAATTTTTGCCCATTCAAAAGATTACCAGAGTAATTACTGGATTTATGCTGTACAAGTAAGCACCATCAATGTTTAATCATTTTTCTTCTGTGCAGAATCTGGACAGTATGCAGTCTGTTTTAGTTCTTCTTGGGTTACTGTTTGGGGCCTCAGGTGATGGAGAACCTAATAAATGTTGATAATTTTAAAACTGAGTTAATCAATAAAATATGAACAAATTATATTAATTTACCAATCAATAATAAGTAAACAAAAATCAATTAATAAATCTGAATTACTAAAATAAGTTTCAACATTTCGCTAATCACAACCAATCTTCTAAAAACTGATACTTCAAAGATAATTAAATTGTAAACCTGATAAATAACATTTCTTGTTGCTTGAAAGATAGAAATGAAGCAGACATGAAATCGCTAACAAAATCCTGACATACACTTAAAAGGTTGATATATCTATTCGTACCTCAATGGCAGTTCTAATTCCTGCTTGCACAGCACCGCTCAAATAAGAACACCAAGCTGTGGCTGACTCTGTCCCTCCAAAGTGGATTCTTTAAAAAAATAGTTTTAAAATAAATAGGAAGGCATTGAAGTAATTGCAACCTCCGTTCACCATTGTTGATCTGGCTCAAAATGCAGTTGAAGTCAATTTTTTGCCACAAAACCTGACCAAATGCCACCATATAGTTTCAAAAAGCATAACTTAAAGACATGCCTGAGGGCATTGCTTCAGATTTTCCAAAATTTATATTTGAATGGAGATTTTTTGCTTCTTATAATTATATATATATACTCCTGTCATTTTTGGCAACTTATTTCAATAACTGATCTGCTGCGTGTGCAGCATTTCTACAGTAACATCATTTAGGGGACTTTAATGTCTGAAAGGATGGATAGGTACCGATAAGTCATATTTATGACCAAGGTGCAGTTTTAAAGCACTAATTGAATATCAAATTTGGTTTATCCCTTCTCATTTTAGCTTCATTTGAGTCATTTCAGAAACTAGTAGAAGTGGTTTATCTGCATTACAGGGTTTCCCCACTCAATGTAACTTTAAGATCAATTAAATGGAATTTACATTCAGTAAGGGTTATAATTTTTAAAAGAAAAAATTTTTTTCAGTAAAGCTGTTTACTCAGTCAGCTATAGTGCATATGCATATCAGTAATTTAGATCTAACATAGCAAAAGGTCACTTTAACTTGTATATAATGCATATATGCATGAAAATCCACCTTTTAATCAAACAACATATTGCAAACCTTTTAAATGGTTTCCTTAGTCCAGCAGCATAGTAGGCCATGCATCCAGTGCCCCCTATACACCCAGGTCCACCCAAAGTGTAAGGCTCCTCTCCCCAGTTCTTCTCTACATAGTCCAGGCATTCCTCAGCTTGGGGACCTAAGAACTCTGCAATGGCAGACAGCACTGCAGCCTTCCTCTTTGATGCCTGATAGAAATGTGGACAATCTTTACAAATAGTAAACTTCACGTGTTTTAAAAGTAGATACATAGGTCGCATTCAGAACAGATGATCCTCAGATCTACTGGTCCGCAGGTCTAATATGGCAGACCCTACGGGTGCATGAAAGTAAGACAGCCTAATCCTTTAATGGTCTCTCCGCTTCCACATGGATTAAATTTCAGCCTCGAGGTTTAATGCATTGCTAGGCCCTGTAGACCAGTAGATCCGAGGATCATCTGTTGTGAATGCGACCATACATGTGTTGGTAACATAAGTTTCAATAACAGATGGCATTATTAGACATTGCAAATATGGAGGCCATTGCCAGATTTGCAACAGACTTGAAGAAAGAAGGGCAGCAATCCACTGCCTGCCACAAAGTCACCTGCTGGATATGCAAAAAAAATATGAAATATATATTGAAGTCGGCTACTATTTGTGTATTTTTAACTTTAAAGTTTTTTTCATCTGCATTTTCCAAAGGTCAAATATATTCTATACATCCATTTTTCCTTTTGCTTTACAGTTTGTTTTGAAAGTACCAGTGACATTAGTATATAATTTTATTACTAACTTCTTGAGAACTCCACTTCACTGCATGTTTTGCTGCTACAAAACCAACCAGAGCTGGGTTCCCATTTGGTGAAGTTGCATCAAGCACTCCCAAGAGGAGGTCAGTTTTGCCACTACTGACTATTTCCCCAGAGAATCCTTCATCACGCCAAAATGCCTAATAAAAACAAAACAAATAATTTTACCTACTTTTACAGAATGTTTATATACATGTATAGATGCATTTTACCAAATATTTTGAAGTATACAGACTGAAAAAAGGCTAAAGAAGATCACATACACTGTGTTGTGTTAAAACAAGCAGATAAATTATTATGGAATGGTTATGTCTGTGTCTTGTCTCTTTGTAATCTGAAGCAGTTTCAATTTATCAATTTCCATTGTAATCTGATGCAGATTAAATTTTTAATTTCTATGTCTGAATTTCCATTTCCATTTCTTAATGATTTCTGTGCACAAGCATGACCTTACTAATCTAATTTTTCAACACTAAACTTGGAAAAAAGTGATGGTTGTAATTTTGTGTATTCTTAAGGCACTCAACAGCACTAGCTGCAACACTTTTAAATCTATCTTTAATTAAAAATCAACGTACAGTTTGATAAGTAATTATGAACTTCACAATATATCCAGCTGGCATTCTCTTAAACAGTTCCAATTTTTCAGCAGGCAAACATGGATTGAACTGCATAGAGGCTGTAATAAAAATGGGTTTCATTTAAGTAACTTACTAAAAGAAAGGAAAATTTAATTTAATTCAAGGACCAGTTATTATATACTATCAAGTAACACGATGGCGCAACTTTCAAAACACATTTATTATATTTGAAATACTCTTGTCAGAAAAAATTCACAGTATGAAAAAAAGACATTACCCGTTATGTCAAAAATAGTTTGATTTGGAAAAAAACAACTGAGAGAGATTTAGTACAGAAATAAGTGAAAACAAAACAAGCGCTTTTGCAAGAGTTGGTCCATATAATTCAAATTTCTCTCATTTAATGAAACTATCATTTGCTAAACGCACCTATCTCAAATACATGCTAGCCATAATATGCTAAGCATTTAAACTGATAAATATTAAGAGCCATACTACCATTTCTACATGTCCCCAATAGATGAATCTTTATACCGGTATACATCACCTGTTTGTTGAGGCATTGTTGTAAAAATTGCTCTGGAGCACTTGAAAACATCCCCCTTAGTTGTGGTTATATGTACTTGTGTGTCATCCTTCAAAAGAGACAAATAAAAATATATTTAGATACATCATCTTTTCAGTAAGAGGTGTAGCAAACAAAACTTCTAAAATTGTTAAGTTTCAAATACTTACATATCTACTCTTAGACCCCATTTCCAGAGATTAGATCGATCTACTTTAGATCAACCTAACTCCCTGGGGGTTCACGCTAAATAGCTGTCAGCTGGGCAGACACGAAAGTTAATTACCCACTTACAGCTTGTAGTAGGCGGGACGGACATTTAAGCTGGATTATCTAACAGTAATCTAGTGAGACTCATCGCGGGGATAGATCGATCTAAAAGCTCTAGGAATACAGCCTTAGGTACACACAGACTTTACTTACAGATAACAACTTTCGAATTAAAAATATTGCTGGGCAAATATTTCCTTGTAAACCAAAAACTTTACATTTTACTGGATGTAAAAATGTTGTGGTTAATGTGTAGGAATAAGAGAGAAGTTTTAGGCTGATTACTCTTTTTACAGCATTATCTACTTACCTGGGTAACTGTCATAACAGGGTGATTCAGGAAAATGTTTTGTTTCCCAATTTTTTCAGCTAACAAACTGGAAATTTGTTGAGTTCCTCCCTAAAAGAGAAAAAAAAACATGAAATTTTCATAAAACTGCTTATATCGATTTTTTCAAGAAATCATTTATAATGATAAGAATGAATAAAAAATATTAAACGAGAAGCACCCTCCTTAAAATATAGACAATACAATGAATCATGAAATCTGAACCACTTAAGCCCTAAATTAAATGCCATAAAAGAAGACTATATTTCTTACATCTTACTTCTAATATTTCTTGGTAAGTAAATTTCCAAGCTACATGTGTAGCTTTATGTATTTTAAGTAAAAATTTTCAGACTTGCTTTGAATAATCATAGCAGCATTTTGAAGATAGGACGTATATTTAGTCTGGTTTGGCTGGTGAAAGTTTAAGAATCTCTAACCCCTGATTCCCAACATTGCTCAGTACCTTAACTTTGAATTCCTGACCACCTTGAGAAGAATCGAAGACAGCTCCAGTTCCTCCAGCAGCATTGGTTTGGGCAAGAAAAAACAACAGAGACATCTGAGAGCAGTCAGCACCAGACAGTATAAGAAATAAACAATCTGCAGCTTCTTTAGCACCTGATAAAAGAAAAAAAAATCCATGGTTACTTAAGAATAATTAATCAAATATCAAAGAATAATTATAACATTCATTAATGTTGATTCACCTATTTCCATAACACCCTTTGCTATTGCAAAAAAGAAACCATATTTTTAGTAATATGGACAATAAAAAAGGAAATACCCATTATTTAAAATGCCAAAAAAAGGATAAGTATGCTTTTAGCACCTTAAAAATTTATTTGTATGAGTTAGCTAAAAGCAATGTTCTGTGGCACACTAACAGCCCAGACTGAACTACTAGTACAAGTATTGGAGCGTAGATGGGTAGTGTGAAACAGAAAATTGGAAGAATTTCCAAAATAAAGGGTTTTTGTCAGCTGTCTTACATCATGAAAGACATCACACATTCTTAGAGCAGACTACCTGGAATATTAAAATTACTTATCGTCAACATCTGCAGTTGTGTCTGTATATATGCTACACTAAGTGAAGCAAAAAGTGCAAAAAAAATAGCCAATATATCATACCTCCTGTCCAACATTGCTGCTGCATAAACTCTTCCACAGTTATACTGTCCCATTTTTCTGCATACTGACACTGATATGGGTCTTCAATTGGAACTTGAGAGCTCATACTATCTATCTAAAATACCCGTATACAGATGTACACACACAGGAACAAACACACAAACAAATATTATTTTATCATATTTTTCCTAAACACTAGACAACTTTTAACGTTTCAAATTGTGTCAGAAAGTTTTGCTAGTTTGTAATTCTTTTGTCTCAAAATGTGGTTGAGCCTAAGTGTACATGTGTGAACTCACATATGTGTTACAGTATATTTACTAGTACGCCTACTTATAAACTTTTGTATACGGGTATTTTCCTCCTCTTACCTTTCTCATCAAAAAGTAAAGATCTATTAATACCCAAAAGGGTAGAGCTGGAATGCTTGTGAATGTCCTAATTTTGTTGTCTCCCAACTTCATGTACTTCTTTCCTTTGTCATACTGACTATACACCTCAAGACCCAGCTCTTGTATCAGTGCCATTATGTGCCTCTGAGAGCTAGAAAAAAATTACTTATACAAGATCACACTATTAATAAATGGTTCGTGTAGTAGCAGTAATGCTCTATAGTGTCATTTTTAGACAAAAAACTGACACCTTGTTACAACACTCACTCAAAAAGCAAAAGTCATGTTGCTTTTAATCAAAACTCAATAATATGTTTGGTCAATTTTATTAAATTATTTTTAAATATTATACTGACCAAATGTTGATCATGTTTTTGCATATTATCATTGCCTATTGCAATGTACGAATAAAAATTTCTTAGATTCATTGACCAATCAGTATATCAGCCATACCTGAAGGAATTATGCCAGTTCAAATATATAATATAATATAATATAATATAATATAATATAATATAATATAATATAATATAATATAATATAATATAATATAAATTATTTTACCACATACCTTCCTACCCACTGTCCACCAAGATCCCATACATCTTCTCCTCCTGCTGCGTTTAATGTTGTTGTTAAAGTGCGACCACCAACTCTATCTAACATACAGATATATAGCCAAAAAATTAATATCAAATTTAAAATGGATTTGTAAGACAATTAATCCAATTTTAAAGCACATCTTCCTTGTACATGAAATATTCTCTTAAATTCTAAATTTTAATTAATTTGAAATATTCTTATAAAATACGTACTTTTATTTGTCACGTGTAATAAGTATAATCTTTCTTACTGCTAGAAGAGCATGTGTACTGACGCTGACACAATATCCAAGGATTATCCAGCATATATTTCAAGTTTCTTATTTTGAATGCTTTGTTGACTGGTTTCTATTATACTCTGTTGAGAATTGAAGGATGGATAAATACTAGTATGTCAATTCTGACCAGAAAAATTAAGAAGGTGCAGTTTATACTAGCTGTATATTTTGGCTGAACAAGGAAATGATTGGGTAACTTCAAATGAATCCTGATACTTAATATACATTTTTCTTTTTTCCAATGTAAAGCCAAGAATTACAGTAAGTACATTGCATAAAGGAATTGATGTTGTGTTGGGTGTTGATATCTTATCTATATCTTGGCTCTCTTTGCTTAAATATGGCAAAAAGACGGATAAGATACAGGACATAACCCAGTACAGGGAGTGTGTGCCCAATTTTAGTGTACAGGTACATTTGGTATGCCTTTCATTGTAAGTTTACGGAAATGGCAACTAATAGGCTATCCACTCAACGTACATGTACGCCTGTACATAGCCTACACATGCCTACATGTAGGCCTACTTGGGAATAGGAAGTTCACCCCCTTGTATGAGTAGGGGAGACCGGGGCTAGTTGGACCCTTGATGGGAGGGGGCAACTTACCCCGAGCTCGAACTAGCCCCGGTCTCCCCTATGCCTGCACCGAGTTCCAAAGGTTCCTATATCCAACCCCTTCCTTGGCTTTCCTGAGCAACTTTTGGCCTTCCGAGGTACCAGCACATAACATGTATAACTGTAAGACCGAAAACAGTGGTAACTCCTTACAGTCCTTAGCACCTGTATACCCCCCCCCCCCCCCTCCATCGTCACTCGCAAATTTAGACTCACCAATCGCTTCCAGCACTGCTACTCGAAGACTTGGGTCTCTCTTGATCAGTTCATACGCTGCACTAAGTCCTGACAACCCTGCCCCTACAACGACTACGTCCACATCGACTGACGCTGGACTTGCCATCTTTTCATCCGCTCCAGCATTTGCGTTCATGTTAGCCAGCCAAATTCCCTATTGTTAATCATATGTGTAACCTTTATAGTGAGTTGGCCTTAACGTCAGCGTCACGTTTTACTATTGATCGCCAATAACAAGAAGAACTGAGAATCACGCCACTTACCGAGTAAACAATATAGGCCTACTAGTTATCACATGATGGTGTGTAACAGTCTCGAATCTAGGCTATCGTTTTTTTTCTCGCAGGAGCCGAGGGAGGTAACTCCCCCCCCCCCCCCCCAGCAAATGAAAGTAGTTCGATATTTAAACAATTATTTAAAAAGTAACTAAAAATAAAATCACACCCGATTCTTTATCCTTTCGTTATCCTTTCTCCTTGCAAAATTAAAGCTACCAAAAAAAAAAACTGACCAACTCCACATAAATGTTTATCGCAAATTTTGTATTATCACTTCGTCTGTGAAACAATGAATAAAAGTTTCTTCAAAGTTCATTGTGGATCAGTGTGCATCGTGGATCTGTACGGGCTCTTACGGGCTGTTTGCGTCCAAATTTGCGCAGAATCTCACGTCCCACGCAAGGCCTTCTTACGCAATTTCGAGTTCGCAGACAGTCCGTAAACACGTACGGAGAATGTTTGGACATGTCCAAAAGATTCTACGAATAGCCTGCGAACAGCGAGGCCGCAAGCGTCGTTACAATGAACGTCGACTGTGTACCGTGTACAACAATTTTCAAAAATTTCAAATTTTTGCTCAATCAAGTTTCTAATATGCCTCCAAAAGGCAAGAGAAAGAAGCTTACATAGTAGAAAAAAGGGAGGAGGAAGAAGAAAGAAGAGGAGAACAGGAAGCAAAACTGACGTACGCCGTCAGTACGTCACCACAAACGTGTGAGGCACGTGTGAAGCAAAACTGACACAAAAGGGCACTACTTTCGCCGTGCGTTGCATTCCATTTCCCTTCGTAAATGGTGAGTGTGTGCCACGTACACTGAAAGCAAGAAAAACTCAAGAAATGAGTACAATTTCCACGACCATCGCTCCTTGCAATTAGTGTCCCTGCCTGAAAGGACATCTCATGTGGCAGGGCCGTAGCCTGAGCAAAGTGCCAGGGGGGCAGTAAGCGGACACGAGGGGGCGAAGCTCCCGAGGGGGGAGGGTGTGGGAGGGGGTGTCCCCCTCC